TAAGTGGCTCTCAGACTGAGGCACGAATCACAGCAAGGGTATTCCATTATGTTTGGGCTTTGCTAATCCTGACACGTAGAAACAGATTTAGTTGCAAACATGCTGTGGGCGTGATTCTGTTTTGTCAGTGGTATGTTGTTTTGGGGGCCGCCGTTTTGCACTCAGATTTCTCTTGCCGAGCCCGACATCACCTCCGAAGTAGAGACCGGCTTGCCTGACGATACAGAGGCCGCGGGTGCTTCTGTCCCAAAATCCTTGACCTGACTTGCGCTAGCTTGTGCTCCTATGGACAAACATCGTGATGGGGATGAAGCTGAGGGCGATTGCATATTGAAGGAGTGCATCGAGGACTGTTGGGCAGTTTATCCTTGTAAGAACTCCGCAAGCATGCTCTCACTACCGTACCTCAAGATGAGCAAACTCCCTGTCAGATGCTGACGACGGCACTGACTTCTGCCGACTTGTTCACTGCCGCTTCCAGTGATATAGATAGGTGAATGCTCCCTCAATGGGGTACATGTGATTGGATGCGCAGTTGTGCTGATCTATTGGATTCCAGATGAAGGTGCCGTCCAATCAAGTTTTGCAGTTGGGGAGCGAAAAGCCTTGCAGTGCCTTTAAGAAGCTTGGGGAAAAGAGAAAGAAAGCGGCGTTCGCGGATGCACGTTTTTGTGATGGCATTTAATCATGCGTGATTCGTTCTGAACTTGCCGTTCTTAAAGCATTCGGGTTTGGCCAGTGGCATGCTACAGCTTCGCACGCTTACAGTGTGAGCCAGCATTTCGGCTTCAATCCTTCCACCGCATCCCACAAATGCAGGGCTTAGTATGCAGCACACCTGGGTGTGGTTGAGCCGCTGTGATGCAAAATGGTTCAGTTTTCCCAGTTAGGTGTGTATGTGTGCGTGCCAACAGTTCCCAGCTTCGACTCCCAGGTGCATTGGAGGAGCTCCACAATTTGTGCGTTGTGGGCTTGGTGGTTCCCATAGACGTGCTTACCAAGTAAAGAATTGCGTTCGTCATAGACATCACATTTCAGGTTGCGGCGTGTGGGAAAGTTACAGCCCCGCACTTAGCCGTGAGGTTTTTTCCATGTTCCAGGAAGCCACATATCGAGGGGCAGTTTCTGACCTTAATGTTCGAAGAGCTTCCCCGTGGTTCCCGCACTGTTGCGCGAGGCTCCGCGACGGCGCTGTTTGAAAGATCGCAAGGCAAGGCGGCTAGACACTAATCGCTTCTGCTTTTGAAGCTTGAGCCATTTTGCAGTTGCTGCAACTAGTCCCACTGTAACAATGTAACAAGAGTTGGACAAATTCTTTGCGTTTGTTTTGGGAGGTGCGTGTGCAGTTGGACAAGCTGCGGCTGTTGCACTCGCTCATCAAGGAGACGCACCTGAGTTTGGGTATGTTTGCTGAACACACGAGAGCTGCAGGAGTATTACGATCGGAAGGGAAAGGCACCTGCTTACACATCTATAGTCTAGATGCTGCAGCGCTCCAACCTATAGCAGTCATGAAGAATGCGAAGCTTTGGGTTAATGTTTTTGCCGCTACAGTACTCTCGTCTCCGACAGTCCCGCCGGCTCCCGACATGCTTTGTGATTCAGGGGCATGTAGACATTGCAGCCACTTGTCATTGCGTTCGGTATTCTCTATGGCATCTGTGCGAAGGCCTGTGCAGACACGGCTGCCGCAAGCACAGAGTCTTGTTGGCAAAAGGCCTGCAAAGGCAAAGATTCAGCTTGGGATTAGGGGCGTCAACGTGAAAATGCAAAGCCCATTAAACGTGCTACAGTCCAAAACGGACAGAACAAAGCGTTTCCCGTTTGTACTTGTACGTGTACCTTAATGAAGTTGACAACTGAATTGTTCTTCATTTTGCCCCGAAGCGTTGTGGGATCATGCGCACATCATATACAGATTCGGTATTGTACCGTCCATGCACCAGGGAGAACGTATTCACGTAGCAGTCGCAAAAGCTCACAGCACGACCATGGTGTCTCCACTGCAGGTTTTGGGGAGCTTAAGGTGCCAAATTGTGCGATGTTGGAGTTTGCTTCGCACAATAACATTTATGCTTGGGCTCTGAAACACAGTCTGAAAGGAGTCGGGCCTAGGGAATCACAGGCAATCGAAGAGCTCAATGCTCTGCACCTTTTGCACACGCACCGGGCGCAATCCGCGGCTCAGGTTCGCTTTCGATCAAAACCTACCACAAAAAGCGGCCCCTTGGTCAAGCCTGCACATTCGAAAATTAGATCAAACACGTAAGCTGCAGAGTTCCAAGTCCAAAATCTGTATACGCCCGCGCGGCGAGGATAGCTCGTACGCAAGTCTGCGCACCCGACTGGGCACCTAGCTAAATCTATCAGATCCACAGTCGTCCTTGCCATGACCCAATATCAACGGTGATGAGCTCTCTCTCTCTCTCTCTAACTCTCACTCTCACTCTCACTCTCACTCTCACTCTCACTCTCACTCTCACTCTCACTCTCACTCTCACTCTCACTCTCACTGGGCATCGCTAAGCGGCTACAGATTTATACCCTTCTTTCTTGCTCAACATTGGTCAATGATGAAACTTTGGACCTGAGTGTCAGTGTAACTGAATCCCAGGACGGCTGCGAGGGCCGAAAAAACGTGCGCGTCCTGGGGGGGGGTTGGAGCGGGGTTTCGCTCGCAGAGCTTTGCATGGACAGGGCTTTCTGAACAAAGCAGAGCTGGCTGACTGGTGGGCTCAAGGCTGCACGGGCGTTGTATTGACATGTGCTTAGCAATTGGTGTCATATGGTTGCAGGTTCGCGGATGCCATAGATCCAGTGGCCGCTGTCTGCATGGCAGGCAGCCCAGGATTGCACGCACTAGAATAGATAGAACTTTCAGTGAGCAGCGCATGCAGCATTCCTTGCTGCAGGCACTACACTCGTGTTGTCGGTGAACCATCATGAACTTAGCCCCTGAAGCCACATCTGCCAGATGCCAGAATTCTCCACTTTAAAAGGTTTGAATTGAGCAACGTCCAGCGAAACTGGCCCAAACTCGAAATTGGCGTTTTGCATCTGTGGTTTCAGAAGCCTTGTTGCTTCCGATGGTGGAGCTCTTATCGTTTCTTTTCGATCTCTTTCCGGCCGTTTTCGAGATGTTTTCTCAAAGGCGAAGGGGAGTCCACAGTGTGTCGGTGCCCGAGCCTTGGCTCGCGGAGGTGAACACGTTGGGCCGGTAGTTTCAGGTTTGTCCGTACTGCCACGCTTCCCCCTGTCGCCTTGATGTTAATGTTGTCGCTGTCGTTCTTCTGTCCGTCATCTTTCAGGAGATCCCAGCAAGTGTCTGGATTGTCCGTTGGTTTCTCTGGTTTTCTGCAGCTGCAACATCAAGCTTATGGAGTAAGATCTCCACGAATGCTCATGATTGTCCATGCCCGTCAGCTGGAGCAGCTGACTTGCTGTATGCGATTGCAAATTGCTTTTTGGATTTTGGCAAGAGCCCTACGCAGAATACAGTTTTGAACAGAAGTCTACGAAAGGGAGCCCGTGAGATCCAGCTGAAAGCAACAGAAGACACATTGCAGGTGTGCTCCCAAGCTATCTTGGAAATCCTGAGCGACGATTTTCCACCACGGCGAAAGTGCCAACAACTAGCCGCTCTCCCAGGCAGTCTCTGAAATTAGGAGACTCACGGGATTGCAAGGCACGGCTAGGAAAAACCTAGGCCTTAGATTCGGAATGCCTACAGCGGCAGGACGGGGCCAGCTGCTTCGTGCCGATCAGTCAACCTTTTTTGTGGTATGTTCGTACAGCACCCAGGCAGTCAACAAATGAACGAGCCCCCTACACTTCTACGCCGACAGAATAAGAAGCACGATGTGTCCCAGCACAGCAGCTTTGGGTCTGCCATCGTGACGATGTACTGCGGTTGAATTCGCATTGGTACCAGCACAGTGCAAAACTGCAGCTTGGAGCGACTATTCAGGTATGTATCTTGGATTATGAGCTTCAGTTGTGCCACGATCAACGCGGAGTAGTTGGCGCACAGACTGAAGGACGCCTTCCTGCATTTCAATGTATTTCAATATTGAGCTGACGCAAAAGCCTGGATAGCCCAGAAGCCATCGACTGACTGGATACACGTTTAAGAACATATAAAACCTCATATGAGTGCATTTTGTTGCAAGCTAGTTCCCGCAGATCCTAGCCTCCGCTTCATGTTTGCTTTTGTGCTGCTGCTGCGCGGGCACGCTCAGCGTCTTCAGGACCGTGGCTGGGCAGGGCAGCTTTTGGAATACAAGCAGACTTTTTGGGTTTGGGCTTTAAATGGGTTAGATGTTTGCAGCTTGAGCATTGATGGTTCCTAAAACAAACAACATAATCGGACAACGATTTAGATTGCACATCCCATGGTAAAAGTGTTGCAGAATGACTCAGTTGAGCCATAGAGGTCTATAGGCACGCTTACGGCTTCCTCATGCTTCCTCAAACCCTTGTTGTGCACGCGCGTAGCTGCGTAGCTGTGATCAAGGTCTCGGGGCTGCCTCGGCGGTGCAACGCGACTCTCGAGTTGCTACGCTGCTATGAAGGTCTTGGTCCAGCCACGCGCAACCACGCTTTCCAAAGTTCCGCCACCTACATTTCCTACGGTCTCTCCTTGCTCTTTCTACTCGTAGTGGTCGTCAGATGGACTTGGATGCCTTCGGCATGTCTTGACCAAGTGGGTGTGCCAGGACTCGAGGGCGTTGGTGGTTCTTTCAAGGCTCGTCATGAGTGTCTGAGGAGTGATCTGGCAAGCAGACATTTGAGCACGTGTTCAGCTTCATGGTACGCGTTGTAAAACAGCATCTTGCATTCCCTGCATGCGCCGATTTGGCTCCAAGACGTTGCATGTTGAGAATTAAATTCAATCGACCTCGGTGCAACTTTTGATTGCTGCGCGTCCCGGCTGCAGCACGGAGGACAACTCCCTCCACCGGGGTGCCTGGAGATGCCACACTGAGCGTAAGGTCGAATCAATGAACTGTGGCGACGCAAACGCTTCCGACGTTCATGAAGATGCAGATTCCGCCTTTCGCCGGCAAAGGCTCGGACAGCAAGTACTGGCCTCATTGGCACGGCTCAAACTAGCCCTCTGTGCGGCCTTCAATCTTGTGACAGATTCTGGACAAAATGCATTTGTCTTGGTACGTCTTGATCTTCAGCGGCATGAGTGACTGGGTGAAGTCCTGCAGGTCCAAGCTGCGACCGGCACCTCTGGCAACAGATTTTCCCAAGGCCTTTCTGAGGATCAGAGAGATGCATTGAGCATCTGCAACTTGGAGGCAGAATTTGACATATCTACGCCCCGAAACACGGGCGCCAAGTCTGAGGTAGGGTGCAAGAGAGTAAAGAGTACAGATAGAAGATGATAGAAGTGTGTGGCGGATGCTTTCCTGAAGGCATCAAAGCACTTCATTGGCACGCCCACGGTGGACGGCTCAGTACAAACCTCTGGAAGTCCTAGACATCTCTAGACAAAAGATGACACTCAATGGTTCGGTGCCGCAGGAATCACTTAGCTTGTTGGGTGCCTGTTTGGCTCTTCCTGGGATGGCTGCTAGGGCGATGGCTTTATTGGGGCATCCAGAGCGATCAGCAGGATGCTGGGTGAGAGCACTAGGCACTAACCCTCAAGAAACAAATCCATTCTTCTCTGTTGCTTGGCGGGTTCATGTGGTTCTTTGCTTGGCTTCGCTGTGGCAGCGAAAGTAGTCAGTGCTGTGGGTTGCATTGAATCCTTTACAACTGTGATAGACACTCTTCTCCGGAGGGAGTTGCGCTGAACCTGCTACGAAAGCAGTGACGGGGTTAGCTTATTCTGTGCTGGTGGCTCCGTTGAGGCCACTGGCATACTCAACGCTTTCCTGGACTGCGATCTCGATGCAGGTCGGGCTCACAGCTTCGGTTGTTAATTGCCAGATGCTATGTTGGCAGGAGACGATTTTGGACCTCCTCTAGAACCAGACTACGATGCCATCAATGAGTGCTTGCAAGGTGCTCCGGCTATATCTTTGCCGGCGCCGTGAGACATTTTTTTGTGCATGGAGACTCTTGTCAAAGCTACTTTGGGGCTGCTGGGTCTTGACTCTGTAGCTGTGGATCAGCCACGCCTGCAACCTGCTGCAACATAGACCTTCATCCAGATTGGCTACTGGCAGGTGAAAAGGGGACGCCTGTAACAATCCTGTAGGCAGGCCTTGCCTAATTACACGTAGCAGCTCAGTGGCCTGCTGAGCTGTTGCTAGAACTTCGCTTTCTTCTACAAATCATTGGCTCTGGGCACTCCAGGCATGCGTTTGACTGCTCCCACCGTGGGCTGGCCGGAACCGAGTTTAATCGGATGTGTTTGGCAGATACGTGACGGCAACCGACCGCCACGCAGCAAGTGTGGTTTCTGCTTCCCAGCGCGACCGTTGCTCCGGCCGAAGACTGCCGAGCTCAAGACGCATGAGGACGACCTTTTTGCACAATGCCTTCCGCGATCTTTGGCCTGAAAGCCTCGCGCACATCTGCGGCACCGTAGGCACTGCCTTTTGGCACTGCCCTTGGCTCCAACGCTGGTGGTCCTCCGATTTGGGACGATGCTGCCGGTCAGCCCGGCCGCCTGCCTTGGTGCTCACCGTGAGTCGTGTTGCTTCCACTTTCGCCACAGCCCGCCCGCTGTTTACATCGGGGAGGGCCGAATGGGCCGAGGCCGCCATGCCCGTGCTGTCGTTGCGGTGATCGAACTTGTTGCTCTCAAGAACTCGTCGGCACGTTGTGTCACCTGGCTTGTTTCCTTCGACGTTAGAGCGTTATTGGATTACAGGCAAGGCCGAAGATTCTCCCCTGCTGCTACCCCTGACAGTGCCTTGTCCTTGTCACGGATTGTGGGTGTTCCGTCCGGCGTCTCCGTCGCAAATCATCCTGCTAAACGTGGCCTACCATTGAAGAAGGACCCCAGATCGGCTGTGCTCTTCCACATCGAGGTCGAATCGGGCGACGCCGTCACCAAGCCGCGATCCTACAGTGAACACGCTTCGCAGATCTTCGCGGATCTTCCTCGGCCAACTCCTCGGCTGCTTGGCGTGTACTGCCCACACCTCTGCCACTGGCAGCAGGAGGTGTTCAGGGCACTTATGACAGCCGGTGCTCACGGAAGCCGTGGTTGCAGTCAAGCAGCTTCGGCGCAGTTTGTGTCAGCAGCGGTGCCGGGGCGTTCCGGTGGCTGATTACGCCAGTGAACGCCGAGATGGTATACCGCTCGGTGAACGCGCTCGGGAAGGTGCCGTTGGCGACAAGTTGCGCCAAGCCCTTGCAATAGGTTTTCTCTAGGTGTTACTCCTGTGTGCTGCTGAACGCATCGGTCGGGAAGTTCACCCTCCTGGACTACCAGGGCCACAGCCTGCATCGAGTTTGGCGGTCGGCCTTCAGCCGATCTGCAGAAGCTTGAGCGCGCAAACAACGTAGCAGTGCGTCTTGGACTCTTAGTGACTTAGTGGACAGCGATGCACCGTCGCATGGTTCGCAAGAGTCCTCGGCATTCACGGTGGCGTAGCTAAGAAGAATTCTTTTCAAGCCCAACATGTAGCTTCGTCGGACCACGAGGCACACCACTAGGCCCTTCGAGCACCGTGGCGCACCGTGGCCAAGGTGTGCCATCATTAACTGAAAATCAATGTGAAAAATGGAAATCAGTTTGGTGCGGCTGCGTCTTGACTCGAAGGGCGTTGGATCATCCGGGCCTCCCACTGCCATGCAGGTCGATCCGGAATCGTATAATACAGGCAGGCGAAAGAACACAAAAGCCATCACTGCTCGAGAATCTTATCTTCTGATCTCTGCGGTGCATAAGTGATCGCTTAAGATGCAAAGAGCCATGATAAGCGTCGACGACAGCACATGACCGATGCACCAAATATTCCGAAAAGAAAGAGCTTCATTAGGAGTCTGAATGTTGTCATTTTTCAATTCCGATTCAGTTCCACTGCTGTCTTCTGTTTCTTCTGGCAAAGTTTTTCGGTGACAGTTCCGTGACAAGTTTTATGCACTCGCCCAGATGGAAATGGCGGGTCAACGGACCATCCTTAGAAGCCATGGGTTGCGCAGCAGTCGGCCGCAGCCTTCGGGCAAGTGACAGTCACAGGTCAGCTTACGTTGGTCACTTTAAGCTTATCTAGAATCTACAGTGTGCGAAGTTGGAGCCAGCGACGATTTTATTTTCCGTGGGAGTGCGATGCTGGTGTGCCACGTGCCAGAGTGAGTGTAGTCGGTTATTGAATCGAGTCTGGTCGTAGGAATTGTCGTATAGGACACCAGCAAATCATCAGAACCGAGCATTCTGAATGCCGGCATCGGGCTCCCAAGACGAGAAGAGCATCGTATACCAGTTAGTAATGCGGGAGGATGTGTGAAGTCTCAGAGCGTGATCCTTTGAACACATGGCCAAAATCGTTAAACGATGCTTGAAGTGGACTGTCTCTCCCCATGTTTTTTAGCCCATGCATGTCGTGCATGCAGTGCGAGGCAAGCACAGACATGCAGATGGGTTTGGACCTCGGAGCCGCCATGAGTTGTTTGCTTTGCCTGACTGGAAACACTTGCAGGAAATCTCTTTTAAAGTTCACGGACTTGGAATGCAGCCATGCGCCACATTTTCTCGCACTTGCAGACTATGCAGCATTCACCAGAGGAAGGGATGGGCTTTGCAAACTGGTTAGAAAACAGGTCGGAGCAGAGCCCAGCCGCCAACCTGTAGGTCGTCGCCTTCGCTCAGCAGCGCAAGCACCGCGAGCACCAGGCCCAGGGTCGCAACAGACAGCAGAAGGACACGTTTTTCGGACTTTTGCGTGGAAGGTTTGATCCGAACGATGCTGGCATCGATGGATCCCCGGGCGAGCCTGTCTTGGACAACTCGTGGAGAAACTTGCGCATCTCTTCCATGAGCCCGCACGTGTGCCAGGTGTTGGCGAAGAAGAGGCCCTCAGCCCTTTCTGTTCCCATCATCTTCCCTTGTCAGTCGACAATGAAATTTGAAAGGAATACGAAGACGACTTTGAGCCAGAATCCGACGGAGAAGAGGCGGAACAGGGGTGAGCAGCGCGGTTCGGTCGCAGCAGATCGTGAGGCGGCTCGGGTTAGACATACGATGATGCGATCCCAAGAATTGCTGACCCCGAAAATAGTGGATGTGGAGGTGGCTCTTGATCTGCGATCTCATCTGCTAGGCAAACCTCATGCACAAAGCCTCCACAACGGGTGTTACTCTGCAGCCTGCCGCAGTGTGCAGAGGGCCACCTATCGCAGAGATATCCATCTTTTCTATACCAGCTTTTCTAGCTCTTCGCCTCCAAAAACGAACCGGAGGCCATGTTCAGCGCGTGTTTCACATAATCTTGCGGAGTCGAAGGATAAGCTGCAGATGCTATGGTTTAGGGGTGGCGCAAGCACGTTACGTCCGTTACGTGTTCGTCTTCAGCGACACCTTCATAGGCTGCATTGGTGCGCCCTGCCCCTCTGATGTAGGTGTCCTTTGCTGCAGAATCGGGGATTTTCCAAGCCTCAAAAGAGGCAGTTTCACTGCAGACCTGAGGTGCTCATCTGGCGTTCAGATGCAGCTTATACAGCACATCCTCAGGTGCATGGAATCCACGTCAAAAACCGCCAGGGTGCCTGCTCCATGAGTGCGAGGTAAGTTTGAAGCACGGCCGCTTGAGATGTCCAACGAGCAACAACAACATGTTGAAGGGAGGTGCTAGTACAAGGCTGCTTCAGTCTGAATTTGGGATGCTTCCAATATGTCTGCTAAGCAGCGAGTTCATCGTGTAGAATCTAGCAGTACGCGTATATGCGAGACTCGTTTTAGATTCGAGCCTCATGCCACCCAGCAGGTCTCCGCCGTATTAGACACACATGGCACATGCGGTGCGTGCTCGAAATCCTGAGGGCTTATCCAATTCCATGTGTTTCTGGATGTTGGACACACGCGGTGATGCCATCGTCTTAGACGGCGCGGAAGTAGGTTTGGCAAGCTGACCATCGCCACACCTGACACATCTTGGACAGGCTGCTGCTTTTCTTGGAAGTCCTCAAGACAGCTTCGTCGCTCCCGGACAGGTGTCCGAAGTGTGTCATGGTTCTGCAACCGCAACCAGATTCAAGCAGACTGTAGATGATGACAATGGCTACAACGAGTCTGGGATTTCGGTTTACTGCCTTCCACGGTGACGATTCGTTTCGAACTCCGCCGCAGGTTACGAGGAGCAAGTTGGAACAGAGCGCTGGCCTCAGGTTGAAATGCATCAGGGGACGACTGCGAAGTGGCATAAATCCCTTCCCTTGTAGATATCTTGTTGAGATGTACGTGATGGGATGACAGGTAGAATTTGTGACCGCGAGCAATTCCGGTGGACAATCTTAGCTACCCTTGCTGGTCCTGGTACTCATTACCTAAGAAGTGACCTCGTACGTCGCAACGAGTCCATGAGAAGGATCTTTGGGCTCCTTTGGGGCTGTCTTTTCGTCTCGGAGGCAAGCCTGCTTGCCCGAAGAGCCCTGAGCTTTGGCAGTGCATTACAGAGAGGCGAATACAAGACATCAAACTGCGAACGGAAAGCTGTGAAGCCCTGCATAGCCCTGCTTTCTCCTGAGAGCCTTGTTTCCGGTCCGGGCTTCCGTCTGCGAACAATCGCCCCTTAGCGTGAGCGATCAGTATTTGCATATCCCTGTAGGGTCATGCGAAAAGCTTGCCGAGGATGCCGATGCCATCTCGGGCTTGCATCATTAGGGCAGTGCTGGGGGGAGCGCCATGGAGTCCTCTGTGAGACAACCCGCCGATCTGCGCTGAGTCGCGCAGGCACCCGTAGCTTGAGTGCAGTTGCGTTCCTACTCTTTCTTGGGAGCGTTTTCTACTGCCCTTGTTTGTTTCGAGGGTGACTGGCAGGCAGCCTAGTATTGGGCAGGCTGGGCCAAGGCGTGGAAAACAGAAATTGCACAGAAAACGGAATAGCAAAACAGTTTGCCAAACCTCTTCGGGCAGAAGTTCCATTCCTGCTTCTTGGCTTTTGCCAGGTGCCCTTGTTTGCCGTTACTGGTTTTGGATTTTGGGCGCCCTGCGTGCCATTCCGGACCGGGCTGCGTCCCGGTCCAGCCTTCTCTTGTTGTTTTGGATTTCTGCAGCGCCTTTCCTGGCCGTCTGGGGACGGACTTCGGTTCGTTCCTGGCCAGCTGGCTAGCTGAGGATAGCTCCGGTGGCTGGCTGGTTGAGTGTCTGAGGCCCCTCCACACCGTTGGTTCAGACAAGCGGCGGGACAATCCAAACAGAAACGCCTGTCGCGAGCGCCTATCAGCAAAACTTACATACCAAACCGACATGCTTTATCATGAGCACCAAGACAAAGAGCACCAAGCAGTAACAGGAATGACAGAAGATATCACGAAGAAAAACTCCAGAGAGACATCGCTGATCGTGTCCGTTACAGGCCGAAAGGCACACATGAACCAGCTTGGGATTACAACGCCGAAATCCCAGAATAGTTCCCAGAATAATTAGTCCGCCCTGTAGTTCTACCACGTCTCATGTTGACCCTTAGGAAATCTGGGCTTTGTTCTTGGGCAAGGGGCGGTATTGCTGTGCTGACATGTTCACTTCTGTCTCAGGATGTTTGCCTGCCCGCTTACTGATGTCCTTGCTTAGGAGTTGTGTGGTTCTCCTATTGAAATGCTTTCGGCGTCATGATGGCATGTTCCTTTGAAGCTGCCCGTGTACTTGAACGTCACTGGCGGGCGAAGCCCTTCACGATTTTATGTTGCAATCCTGAACTGTTCTACATGCAAACGGAATTCTTGGTGTACCGTTGGCTTTAGTTGGCCGCTTATGTTCAGGCTGGGTCAGCGGATCGGAGATACAACAAGCATTGTATTCTGTTCTACCCCTCTCCTCGAGCGTTCAACTTGCACTCAGATCCACGCCCAAAATAGAGTCCGATAGACTTGCTATGGTTGATGACTAGTGGCAGTACATGAAGAAGCCTGTTACAGCTGCGCATCCCGACAGACCTCGCACCGAAGACAAGTCTCAGCGTACACCATGCACGTCTTTCGCTTTGCTGCCATCGCTCTCTGGTCCTCGGACTCTCCGCACATTCCGCCAGCTCTCTCTCTCTCTCTGTTTGGTCTCCCCGAGTCTCTCCCTCTCCCTCGCCCTTCACCATCCTTCATTCGAGCGAACACAAAATCTGTCTTCCAGACCTGCTGCAACTTGACGAGGCCGCCTGTTTCCGGAGCAATGGCTGCCAGCTGAGAGAAGCCTTTTGCTTTTTCAACTGCTTGGTGTACTGCCATCTCCGAGTCTGCAGCTGCTGAACTGGAGCACTTCATTGGTTACGGTGGCAAGCATCTTGGCACTGTGTGCTACCATCCCTCAGAGGTCATGACCCAAGTCTCTATGCTCTCAGGCGTCAAGTGATGCACGGTCCTCTGCTCTGCTCAGGCGGAAACGCTGATTTATGCGGCAGCTTCAGCCATCATCGTCGAGAACGTGAATGCGCTGCCCCTGATCACCCTGCCGTGTCGACATAGAGTCACAATGTCTAAGTTTGCTCACGTCATTCTTGCACGAGGATCCGCACAAGCAAGAGTTCTTGAGGGGGCACGATGCAGAGGCGCTCTTCACCCGAGCTGCAATCGCATCCGTCATGGACAGCAAAAGCAAGTTCAAGAGGACACACCTGTTGAGCATCACAGGTGGCCCGTTTAATGGGCCGGGTTTTGCTAGAAAGCACCCCCCCCCGACGCAAGTCTAAGTAAGGTGCACGTGCCACTTGTGTCAGACTTGCAAGCGCGGGCTTTTCTGGGGGGGGGGGTGGAGGGGTGCGAGAGGGTGCAGGGTTAGGCACGGGGAAGGGGGGGAGGGCGAGGAGGCCTCCCCCGAGTCTTGGCGGGGGGGTGGCATGAAGGAATGAAGACAGGAAGGAAGGAACCAAAACAAGCAGGAGAGAAGGAGAGCAGGAAGCAAGAAAGGAAAGAAACGGCAGGAAGGAAGGAGTGATGTCCAAGCTTTAACCCTGTACAAGTATGTACACCGCTGTCACATGAGGACATAAAGACTACTCGTACGTTACAATTTGCAGTCCCGAAGACAAAACCCCAAACGAAGGCAGAGCAAACCCCCCAAGGTCGTCCCCAAGCAGAAGCCCTAAAGTCCTCCCGAAGATGAAACCCATTGAAATTCCAAAGCGAAGAAGGCAGAGCAAACCCTGAAGTCTAAAGTCGTTCGGAACATGAGACCCCAAAGCGAGGAAGGCCGAGCCAATCCCAAAATCGTTCCCAAGAAGACACCCTAAAGCCGACACCGAAGATGAAGCCCCAAAGCGAGGAAGCCAAAGCAAACCTGAAAGGTGAAACCTTCAAAGCCCTGCACCCAAAACGGAGCTGTTGGGTCGAAAGCCGCTGGCAAGCCCATAAGCCTTAAAGGAGTTGTTTGGTAGGAAGCCCGTGTATGCCAGCCGTAAACCCTCCTACCCTTGACCCTCGGTTTTCGTGCCGTGAAGTGCGAACCAAACCCTACCCTAGATCCCCCGTTTTCGTGCCATGGAGTGCGCATACCTGCGCACACATTGGTTTTCGTACTAAACAGGACCCTGTGTGCTCCTTAATGCGCCCTAGACGCGAGGTTTGCTGTGTGCGTCTTGGAGTCTTAGACGTCCTAGTGCGTGCACCTTCAACTCGCTGACCCTTTCTAGAGTCTCACGTTTTTGAACGCTCGGATTGTGCTTGCAAAGCTAGATACGGGGACGATACCTCATATATGATCCCGGTTCTCGGTTCACCGACCCCCCCCCCAATGGTATCCCCCCCCCACGCTCCCCAAGCCGACTCTGTGTGACTGTGCACGCTTTTTCC